GAAAAGGGCCAGCACTGTGGCCATGAGGCCACAGAGGGCTGCAGAATATGAAACTAAGACATCTTTCGTTATTATTCTATTCCATGTCCTTTTCTCCTGGTTTGAAAAGGAAGTGAGTTTTTTGGGATGCTGTGATCAAACCAATACGTGCTCAGATTTGAATATTGGCCACTGAGGACATGGATACACCTCTGAGAACACACGGGGTTAAAAACAGAGAACTCCCAGGGGAAGCTCTCTTGGGTTCCGTCCATGAAGGAGGTCAGAGCTCCCCTGCCCAGCTCAGGGGGTTAAAAGCAGAGAACTCCCACGGGAAGCTCTCTTGGTTCTGGTGGGTGAAGGAGGTCAGAGCTCCCCTGGCCTGCCCGGCTGTGGGCTGTGTGTGGGAGGGGAAGCCATGGGGCCTGGTGAGGTAGGCCAGGCCTTGGACAGAGAGGGGAGGTGAAGGCCCCTGCAGGATGGAAGGGTGAAGGAACACTGAGAGGCAGCAGGCAGCCACCCCCAGAGAGAGAGAGAGAGAGAGAGAGAGAGAGAGAGAGAGCTGGTGCCTGTGCCTCTGCCACCTTGAAATTTGATATCATGTGGCCGTAGGAGAAGGGGAGGTACAGCAAGGGTGCAGTGAGAAGGTGCCCGGCAGGGCAGTCATGGGAGTTCTGGGCAGGCAGAGCCCAAGATTTTTAACCCTTTTCTTGGATGATGGAAACCTTACAAATGCTGATCCTCCTGGAGCTGAATGAGAAGAGAAACAGAGATTAAATAGGAGGAAATGGGCAAGTGTGATGGAAGTTTGTGCAAGTGAAAGATGTCAGAACAGTTGAGAAGAATTCTAGGTGGGAGGGATGATGGAGTGGCCTTTGGGTGGACTTTTCTTGTATAGCCATGGACAGAACCATTTTTCCTGAGACACAGAGACTGCATTTAGGGGGAAGCAATGGCTTGGAGCCAAGGGAGTGCAGTGATGATATGTGAAGGAGTGTGTGAACAAAGACAACGGATGAGGAGGGTGGTGGTGCCCTCGATCTTCAGTGAAGGAGAAGATCTCTGTTCTCGAGACCCCTCGGCCCCAGTGGGTGAATTTGTGGGGAACTGAGAATGAGAGACTGTGCTTTTTTTGGAACTGGGCAAAGCATCCTTAAAAGGGGAACCCCAGAAGCAGCTCTGGTCCATGTGCGGTGGTGAGAGCACTGGGCATGGAAGGAGGATGTCATGATGGCAAATGATCTCTGGGCAGAGACACGTGTGACATGGAAACACAAGAGGTCTCAACTGTGTTTCCAGGGGAAGCCTATGGCACAAGAGAGACTCCTCTCTCCTTGATGAACTGAGAATTGATTATCTGAAGGGTGGTGATGCACTGAGAGCTGGTGATCTTAGGGGCGGTAACTGAATTGAGAGTCCAAGGTTTTGTCTTACTGTGATGTATTGGAAATTTGGTGGGAGGAGGGGGAATGTTTTTGAAAGGTTTTCATTCTGAGTTCTCTGTGGGTTTTTTGTGTAGTTGTAGGTTAATAAAGTGGGTTTTTTTCCCTTTATTCCTAAGCTGGAGCCTGCTTTGCTGTATTCCTGGTCACATCTCACAGCAGACACCAGGGAGAATATATTTTCATGGGGGCACTGGCATTGTGCCAGCATCAAACCATGACACCTTTCTTTTCCTACAGTTAGTGAATAGAGGTTTACCCTGAGTTTCCTTAAATCCTTTCTGTTTTTCCACACTGAAGGTTCATTTGCAGAGGACTCAAATGTCATGTGTGGTTGGATTGCAGCTGGCTTCATTAAGTGCTGGAATGCTAGAGTGGCTGTTATGGTTCCAGAAGGGGCAGGGGATGCTGAGGTGCAAGGCAGTGATCTGCTCTGCCTGACAGAATGCCAGCAGCACTGTGAGGGAAGACACTGGCCTTCAGTGAGGTCAGTGCCACAATTAACATCTGCTCTCCAGCATATGGGGCAGGGAGCTCAGACAAACCAGATAATAAATCTCAGAAAACTTACAGTTATATTTGTCTACTTAGCTCTTTTACACCAAGAATGACACACAAACCAGAATAAAACTAAATCACAGTAACGATAAATTTGCCCCAGTTGCTACAGGATGACTTGCAGTGTCTTTGTTCGCCTCCTTTCTTGAGAAGAAAGACATTGGCTGTGCCAAATAAAACACATTGCATAGTTCTGCAGGATTCAGGTTTTTAATCACAGGAAAATCAAAGACCCAAACATGGTCTGGTGCTAAACACAGACTCATCTGTTTTAGGTGCTTGCTGTTCCTTCTGCATTCATTTGAATGGACATAGAGGGGAAATGGGCTGAGGAGGGAAAAAATAATAACTTTTATTTTTCACTTAAGAGTAAAGAAGAATTTCTGATAAAATACAACAAGGTGTTTCCTATGGGCACATCCATAGCTATGAAGATAGATACTTGGCAAACTTGCTATATAAATGTATTTCTCTTGGAAGCACTTGAGCGCAGTTGCAGGAGCCTTGAATTGTGGAATTTATGAAATGTTATGTTTTCAGGAAGCATTTTCTTTGAAAAATCTAACTGCCTAATGGATTAATTACACTGGCTACACATTATTGTGCTCTTTGTGGTGCAATGCCCCAAAATGTTTTGGTTTGGTCTGTCAAAGTGCCCTTGCTTGAGTTAAACATGAGGGTTACTCACTCATTGGGGTGCAGTTCAGGGTTGCAAAACAGGAACAGTGTGGAACAGTTCTCCACAAAGTACCAAGCATTCATCCTGCAGGTTTGGCCATGCAAGGTCTCTGAAAATGAGGTTTTGTTTTCTGTGAAATGTCAGCTGCATGAGGCTGCGATGGATGCATCAAATGCTGAAGAGATCAGGGGCTTGGCAAGCTCTTTTTCCTTGGAAGGCAGGGCTGCACAATACTGTTGGTGGTTGGAGTTTGTTCGATAACGTTTTCAGTCTTCCAATTTATTTACTTTCAATTTTGGTTTCAGTTCATTTAACCTTCAGAAAACATTTGTGCTGTCTGCTGCTTACAAAAGGAAGGCTCCCCCCAGCAGCCCCTTGCGGCATTTATCTCTTGCTGTGGAGCTACAATGTCTGCAGTAATAAATGTATCCGTTTGAAATTGAAGTAATTAAGTTCTTGTTGAAATGTCTTCTGGAACAAAACATTAGCTTTTGCTTTCAAAGGGGAGATATTGCCCAGATAGCACTTCACCTGGCCAAGGACAAATGTTATGGTTAAACATCACTTTCTGCTTGCTTCTGTGAAACAGCAAGCATATCTGCATTCAAGCACTTCTATTTCTTAATGCACCAAAACAAGGATCTCCCCAGAACTGAAAGCACCGCTGTTGTAACTATTCTTTTGTTTTTAAAACAGCCCACTCATCCTACCAGCTTGCTGTGATTTATTCCTTTGAACTTTTAAATTGAAAGATACAACAACAGAAAAAAAATAATTGGGCAGACATTTATATTTGCACACCAGACTTCTGTCTCTAGAGGCATGGGTTCATCCAGCTGTACATTTGTAAACTAAAGCTGGATTTGGCCATCCTGCAGTAATCCCTGGTTGTCCAGCTCAGAAATTCATATGTGATTTGACACTAATCAAATCCTCCTGTAAGTATGTTGTAACTGCGGCTGTTGCTTTTCAAAGCTGGTGGGTGTCAGGGAAATCAAAAATCCTCATTTTCCCACCACCTGGGAAAAAGCTCAAGGCCAAAAGATGAAGGGTGGACAAGAGGTGAGTTCCCTGCCCAAACCTGTAGATTGCTGGGTTACTGACACAGTCCCTCTGTGTTGCACAGGGCACGGCCCAGGTCCTTTTAGTACTGTCAAGGTCCTGGCAGGTTGCACAGGACTTTCTAAGTACTGATGGGATTAGTTAATAATGGCAATCATCAGTCCAGTGACTAAGGGCTGTATATTTTCTTAATCTGAACCTAATAGGAATGCTCAGTAACTATGCCAGTACATCCTCTGTGTATCTTACATGAAGTGTTCTGTTTTCAACACTAGATACAAGCATTAACAAATTAATATTATTGTCTTGGTTTGAAAAGACAGATGTCTGCTAAGGAAGGCAGGAGCCTCCCCTGAAATGGAAAATGTAACTCCCTCTGAATAATTATAATTTTGAAATTAAGGGGGTCTCAGGCAAAGATATGGGAGTAGGAATAACAGTTCTTTATTAGGGGAAAAAAAAAAAGCAGTAGTACAAAACAACACTGCCAGAGTCACATCAGTCCCTGTCCCCTGTGTGCCAGGGGGTGTCCCAGCCCCATCCCATGGGGGCTCAGCCCTCCTGCAGTGCCAGCTGTGGCTCTGCTGCAGCAGGGATCCTGCACAAGGGGGGAGTTTTCCTCTGCAGCTCCAGG